ATGCCAAATAAAACAACGACATTGAAAATCGAAGACAACAAAAGCACCATGGACGGCCAATTTTCTTTTTTATTATCATAATATGTAAAACGTGACTATAGAGACAACAAATGTCCCAATTGTACTCAGTATACACAATTATAAATATTGTCATTATACTTTGAATGACTACGATTTCAGCCGTAATCACCAGAATAAATGAGATATAATTGGTTTGAAAACCAAACTGGACAGAACCTAAATGTTACAACAACTTTCAGGCCTGAACAATTTTGCTTGACTCATGAACTTAAGATGCGGGTGGTAGAACCAAACTGGAATTGTCCTCCTCTGTCAATTGTTCTTTCCTCTTTCAATGAATTTTTTATCTGTTATCATTATTATTATTATTATTAATTGGATATATTATCCTTTTGGAGGAGCACTTGCTTAATTTCGAGCAGTTATCACGTCTACTTTTGTATTGACATAGAAAGCATTACGTTATACTCACATGGTAAGTTTATCAGACGTTCCAGAGGTATTTGGTCGATCGTCCACCCATTCTTGATAAAATGCCTGGGAGCGTCGATGTGTGTTCCGCCGTGCTCTGATGAACAGAAGTGGTTGTATTCCAGCCTGGAAAATATAAGAATACTGCAGCAGTTTTACCACTACAATGTCACTGTTTTCATGCAATTTCCATGAATTATGTATAGAATGTAAAGTGACGTTCGAATAACAAAAAAAGAAGCACTCTTCCATGGTTTTTGTTTGCAAAAAAATGGGGCACATTTTGAAAGCTTTGAAGAAGGACCGACAATTAACATTTTTTCTACTAGCTCTCTTGAATTGCCTATTGAGTTTGACTTCTAGGGCTGTTTTGTTTATTATTATTATTTCTCATCTTCTGCAGTTTCCATAAAAATTATTTGCTTTATGTACCCTTCACCTTGCAGCCGTTGGTCATTTACGCTTCAGGTCGCTAGCCTCAGCAGTTAATCGAATCGTTTATGAAAAATGTTGTTAAAACATTTAAATGTAAGTCGATGATCTCATGCATGTAAAATTATTAACTCTTTATTTGTATGGACACGTGGTTATCTTACAATTATCTTTACTGGCATTAATGATGTAAGAAATTAGAGATACGATGTCCATCTTTTCTATGTTTTACATACCATTGACCTATTGGCATTGATATCAAAGTCTTTGATATACAGTTTACATTCACCTTTGAAGGCAACCATTTGATGTCAAGCTAATTTGCACATTTCGGGAATATATAAACTCCCCTCAGCAATGAATATTTTTTTAGCACAGACAGTACACGCAATAAGTACAGAAAAGCACGCAACAGCATTAATAAAGAATATTTGAATTGGTGCACAGTGCAAAGAAACACACAATATCTCTGTAAGACTGGTTATACATCACTGCCATCATAACAGATTCCGAAATTGTAAACAAACATACGTTTACTACCATTGGTCACCTACATGTACTATATTGGTCAATAGATGTTGCATCAGCTGGTGAGTCACCATAATGCTAACCGTCTAGTCAAAGATAAGCGAAAATACAAATAAATGGTAAAATTAGCTACAATTTGAGGTTGTTAAAAGGTCACCTGTGCTTAACTGAGACCCCCTCCCCCCCCCCCCCCCCACCACCACCAAAACGGTAAAATATACAAAGGGATATACATTGTAGGCATAGGCATATAGGCATAGGGTCTTTCTCCGCGAGAGGTCAGGGCATTGACCTATTTTGTACGAACTTTGTCAGAGTCCTTGTTGAGGAAGAAATGAGAAGGTTGATACACTCATGATATCATAAAATAATATTCCAATGGTGCTTCCCTTTCCGAAATTCATTTATCTGCCCGAATTTACGTAGTTATTACATTTTAAGAGTATGCACTGCTAATTCTCAAGTGCAATATTTACCTCATCGTAAATGGAAAAAAAAAACAAACGTGTAACAAATAAAACTGTACGAAAACCCCTCCGATATTAGACAGCTGTTGTAATGACCTTAAACCAATTTTTAAATCTTTGGACGAGAAAGTAAAAATTATTACCAGGTGATGTTTTTGTAGGGTCCTCTGTGGTCGTTCCATATCTGCCACTTCTGTGGCATAGACAGTGGATACATTGTTTGGTTATCGTACGGATAACTGAGATCTACAATCACAGCATCTGCATTGAGAGAACTTAGAATTAGAATCACAGCCAGCTGATGTCTTGTATCTCCCATTTGAAGATTTTCGATGACAGTCAATTGACGAAGTCTTTACAAAGGTTGAGATGTCCGCTCTGCTGAAATCCCGGTTTGAATGTTCCGTTTGCAAGTAAAGATCAACCAAAGACGGAGGTCAAAGGAGCAATTCTTTTTTTTTTTTTTTTGCCGGCTGGATACGTATTCTGTATGCAATTAACGAAAAAAGGAATCATGAGAAATAAACGAAATCTACTCTGCAATCAAAAGCACACCATGACATCCATTTGACATCCATGTACGGTTAAGATAGATTCAGATGGCGTTTGCTTCTGTTTCGGCTAGATGAAACACTGTGCAGTTATCCAATAGATAACTTATGTTAACATAATAAACCCTGGTCATGACCTTGAATAGTATACGGCTATATCTGGTATATCCAGGTGGTGATTTTTTTAAACTCATGTCACCCTAGCCTTAAGTTCAATTTAGGTTAAATTAGGGTGAAGTCAGGGTCAGACCCGCGGGACCTGATAAGAAGATGCATTTAGAATGTAGGTTTACACGAGCGTGCGTTCGCATGTGTATCTGTATGTTAAGTCGGCGAATGTATGCTTGCCTGTGCAAGTGAACGCAATGACAGCAGCTTAAGTATGAACATTTATGTACAAGCTCGCACGATACAAATTCTACGCACTTTTGTTCTTTATTCCTTTATACACCTGCCTTCCAAGATTCCACGTGGTTATTGCCAATCAAACTTCTGGGTGGTTGGATGCCCACTTAAAAACCAGAACAATGTGTATGCAATTACAACAATTGGTACCTAGATCTCCAAGAGAATAAAGAAACACAAAGCATCATGGGTATAAAGTTCACAAAATGCAAAAATTAAGTGATAACATGTGGAAAATTATCTCCAGATGTTTGAAACTTGTAAGTATATTCCAAATTTCTTAATTTCGTTTGCTACGTACTAATATGTCTACAAATATAGAAATTAATCGATCAATTATCATTGAAAGATCATAAAGTGATTACTGAATGTATTTTTGTTTGTTTGTTTGTTTATTGGTTGATTTCGCTATAAATCACGTTTATTAATTAATTATTTATTTATTTATTTATCTTTTTAAGAGCCTGTCCGTTAACATGTGGGGGCCTATTTATATACATGTGGGGGCCTATTTATATCTATTTGTCTGTTGACCAACGCCCTGTAACGTGACCTTGAAACATTTGCCCTCATTATCTGTTCTATTGAGCACTTCTGTCTTCAGCTATCTCCTAGTGGTAAGGGCATTGGCCTAATTTGCGCGAACTTTGTCAGAGAAACCGCGAAATGCAACTGAAGATAAACGAAATGCAACCACCGCAAAATGTAACCAAATTCTATTATATCACGCGGAAGTCCAATGTATGCGTTTGTATGTTTGTATGCATGAGCACTTGTGCATATTTCTGACTGATTGGGATATCTTGCATTAAACTTGTAAAGAAATGTCTTATACAAAGTAGAACTACGCTAGGCTGCATATTAGTTCTAAAATATTTTTTAACAAGACGCAAGCATTATTATAGGCAATTGCGTGTTAGAGCTCATTTAGAACAGCGGACTAACAGATCCGTAGATCAAATATGGCGACCCACTAAAAAGCTTGCCGCTTAGTTCCCGATTAGACACTGAATAGATTCCCCGCGGGGATTACGCAACAAGCTTTCAAGTGGGTCGGCCATATTTGATCCGCGGATCTGTTTGTCTGCTGTTTTAAATGCGCTCTTACAGAATAATAACATAGACCTATTAAAAGCTCTAGGGCCGGTGTCGTTTTGATTTAAATACCCTTCAAAATCCCAATATAAAACCTTACTGTCTTAACCCAAGTCGATAAAGTTTTTTCTTTGCAGTCTACATATTGCCGGTGTAACGTGACAGAGACTCCCCCATGATATAGAGTCCGCTTCCCATTCATTTGTACAGGTAAGTCTCGCCCTTGATTTTGACCCACCTAGGTCAGGCTAACCCTAACCATTATAACTAAATGGAGGGCGGACCTTCTGTTACACGTACCCTCAATTTCGTTACACTGGGCCCAGAGATGGCAAAGCGGGTACGTGCCCTCCCTTAATTTCGGATAAACCTCCATACCCCCTCCCCCTTCCCCTCCACAATCCTAAATACCCCCTCTTAAAATTATGACATCAGCATGCAATCACAGTTCTCCAAATACTCTATTTGTCCTGCAAATATTCTGTTTATTTTGAAGATACAGTTTGGTCGCCGTTATACCAACAGATAGTGACTGAGCAAACACTTCTTAAGTGTGACGTAAATGTTTCAGCGGCGATAAGCCATTTCCCTTATGATACATCCATAGAAGTCGCAAGAGCTGTTAAATCATATCATCACTGCTTCAAATTTGTCTGAAAATTACAAGATGGTATTGCAATACTACCTACAGTATCTGAAAAAGAGGCAATTGAAGAGTCAAAGCAAATCGAATTGCTTGACACACTTTTCACTGTATATGACAAAAAATGTTTTATATCAAAGACTGAAATAAGTGTTTTTGCTTAAAAATATTGGAGAATGACTTTGTTTGTTGATAACAGTTATTCCCAGGAAATATGAATTTTCCCTGCTTCTCTGCCTGTGGAACAAGGTCCCAGCTCGGTACCTCTTAACAACGAGGGTCTATGACAGCTTTGACTGTCTCTAGTTTTTCATCCAAATTTCTCATCAGACGTTCCTATCCAGTTTTATGTATATATACACCTTATCACTTCTTAAATAACGACACAACAACACGCTCACTGTACGGAGACAGTTCTAAAGAGGAGGGCTTATCAAAGTCCATCCCCACCCAGAATTCACCAGCCGACGTGGTATGAACGGCTTGTATTGTCTAGGACTAACATACTAGCTAGATTTCAGAAGTGAGGATTTCCCCAGGAAAGTGTTAAAATGGTGGAGTATGAAGATATTCTTATAGAAGTCGGTAGGTGGACGATGTGAAGATTTATTCTTGGATAAGCGAATTAAGCGTAATGTTGGCTCACGAAAACTGGTCCTAATATTGGTTTAATCCTGTACTTTCAAACTAGGAGCAAGTAAAGAAGAGGCATAGCTTCAAATACGAGCCGTTGGCTATTTCATGTGAGCAATGGTCAGAACTATTTCTGCAATAATGAATATTGGTACTCCTTTCCTGGAAGATGACACAAGATAAAAGTTAGAAAATAAAATGTTTATGGCAGATTTGTTTAAGATTCAAGTTTGATCTGAATACAGGTTTATACTGTTCATCGTTAAAGCGTCTTCTGGTTCTGCTTAAAAAGATACAATGTGCCTGATGACGCCATTTCAGTAGGCTTTGTCATTGCATTTCATATAGGGTGAGTTAATGGGCCCTACTTCACAGCATCTACAGATCTGTTACCTTACGCTTACGTGAACAGCATTCTGGGCCGTTATGAATTATTTATTTGCTGTACCATTTCCTGACCCAGTGTCAACAAGACCAGTTGACGTGTTGACACGCCGTCTAAGTTAATCTAGGGGTTGTTCCTGGACACAGGAGCAAGTCCATCCTAATCTACTGTTGAGTTTCTTTCTTTTTGTTTCCCGTTCTTATGCGCATGTTATTATTTTTTACATGCAGAAGTTTCGTACAGCTTAAGGGGAATCGTTTCGCCCCCCTCCCCGACCACCCCTAGTCCCGTTACCACCCTCTTCTTCAGAATAGTCCCTTTTTGTAAATTTTAATGAAAAATCCACAATATTGGTGTGTTTTCAGTTTTCATCCAATATATCTAAAACCAAGAAGTAGGACCTATATACCCCCTCCTTTTGCCACGTGATACAATTGCCTTGTGACATATTGTGTAAAGCAGGAATCATAAATGTGAACAATACTTATTTGCTACCTCTGTACTTTCGACTCCTCAATTTTTATGCTCTTCCTCTTTTACATGTAGGACAACTAGGATGGTACCAGTTGACATTGGTATTACTGATCGATGTTGGATGGAAGTTCAACACAGGCTGGGACATGATGCTCATGATTTACGTCGGAGCAAACCCGGGTTACACCTGCCCAAACACGAACCTTCTCAACGTTTCTGGTTTGACCAATCAAACGTGGCCAACGTCTTCTCTGATGCAGTCTACGCCGTCGTATCTCGGCAGCAACGCCACAAATCGGACAGGTCTGGTAAAAGACCAGTGTGGTCCCACCAATGAAATTTGTGATGGATATGTCTTCAATAAGGACTTTACATCCATAGTCTCTGAGGTTCGTTGGCCATGCTCATTTTGATATATCATTAACAATTTTTAAAAGATACAATAGAGCTACGGGCAACGCGTCTCCCTAACACCAATATTAAGCATATTTTACATGTATAGACTAGCTACTTCTAATTGGTGTCAATTTTTACAGTCTTCAGTAACAGGCCATACAATTAGTTTTATTTATCATAACTAAAATACGTTGTAAATATGGTAATTAGTTACACGTTTTGGTGAAAATCTTTACTCTTTGTGATCGTTGTAGCGCCAATATTATTTTTGGCTTCTTATTTCAGTGGCAACTGGTATGTGGGACCGATTTTGTCAGTGACACCATTACGTCATTACAAATGGCCGGTGTGTTGTTCGGATCTCTAATTTTTGGGCAACTCTCCGACTGGTTTGGGAGAAAGAAGGTATCAGTTCTCATCTAGCTATATAATTTTGTTCTGTTTTGAGTTCCGAAATTATAATGTTATGAACCTGTTTCATGGTGAATATTTTCTTTAAACATGAAATGCATGGCAAATTTTTCCAGCATTTATGTGACCCAAAGCAGCTTTCTGTGTGAGCTACAACAAGAGTACAGATTTTGTCTAAAAATCCTGACTTAAAAAATGACGTATTATTCTGTACTTTTGAAATGATCTGCTGGTGTACATGAAGGCGTCAAAGCTTTTAAAAATTAATAATCACTAGATGTACCTTAGAAAAGTTGGACACATTTTTAGCTAAAAAAGTTAAGCCTTTACTTAAAAGCACCACCAGCACCTAATCGTGAGGCCACCCGTGCATAAAAAAAACACCTTTTTTCCTTTCAGACATTCTACACCGCTATTATGATGGTTAGTCTATTCGGATTCATTCAGAGTTTCTCTGTTAATTGGTATATGTTTGCTGCTTTGCGATTTTTTAATGGGGTAGCAATTGGAGGTAAGAAACGTCGATACATTTTGAAACAAAAATGTATACCGATATGATTCTGCATAGATGTGTCTGTTGTGCTAGTAACAATCTGCTATAAAGGTGTATCTGTTCCTTTAGTATCTGTTGCTTCTCGTCGGCCATTTTTGTTACTCTTTTTAAGTCTGGGCGAAATGTTATTTTCTGCTGTGGCTATCTGTGAAAATAATGCTTGAGAGTGTCCAACAAAAATTATAACCGCTACATATAATTATACACATACATGTACTAGTATATATGTATATTATGTTTTATGTAATATACACTGGATCGTTGAGGCAAACACGTTGCATAGCGTTTCGCATGCAAATATTTCTCGTCTTTTTTTTTCAATAAAGATATAAAAATGGGTACGTTGGCTGTATCCTCATTAACAATAATTGTGGAACATGACAGCACATTTGTATTTTCTAGGAGGCATAGTGATTGGTTTTGTGTGGTCAGTCGAGTTTCTTGGTCCAAAATACCGGCCGATCCTCGGCGTCTTTGGAGCCTGGCCATTTGGAGGATGTATACTCACTGCCATAGCCTATTTCACAAGAGATTGGCGACAGACCATGATGGGCACTTCTCTTCCTGGGTTTCTGTGGCTTTTTGCTTGGTGGTAAGTTTATGAATAAAACTGCTATCGCACTGAAGAATGAGCATCTGTACATGTACGCAAAATCATCTTATCTGGTAGTACCAAAAACGAGATATTAACTCGAGATAAAAAGAATACACTTAATTCCTCGGACTTCTTATTATATATTTATTTTTATTTATTATTAAAATATTATGTATTTATATATTACATATATCTTATTTATTCTGCCTTTGAATAAAAAACCAAAAGAGAAAGAGAAATAGCACACATCAGAATATTAATATCACCTTTTTGCTACACTTTTTTTCTTTTTTTTTATGAATATATGCCAATGTTAGGATTAAAGAGAATTTTATTCAGTTGTGTTTGTTGTCGGTGTTTCGTGCGTGTTTCAGAATCCCTTTAATACCCACAGCGTAAATTTCCCATCATTGCTTGTGAAATACATGTAGTTGTCCATGGAACAGTTGTAACTCACTTGACAAGAATGAGTTGATTAAACTGCTCTCCTTTGCCACAGGTATCTTCCCGAGAGCCCAAGATGGCTGCTTACACAGGGGAGATATGACGAGGTCAAGGCCATTACGCAAAGAATCGCTGAGAGAAATAAGAAACCTATGCCAGATATAGACACTTTCTTTAAAGACTATGAGGTCAGTGCTGTCCGATTGTCAAAAGCATTAAAATCAAATTTTAGTGATTCCATACCAGTACTTCTGACCAATGGCTTTATTTAAATATTATTTTATACTGTTTTTTTTCTCAACGAATCTATATTTCCTTTAGCAAAAAATCCTTAACACAAAAAGTTGTACTTGGATGTTTAATATATTTTTTGTTGAATTAATCGCTTTTAAACGAATTATTTCCGACAATTCAAATTTTAAGTGGATAACAAGTACCATTATATTCCAGACACAAAGACGGCTCCAAGAAGGCGAGAAGCATGTGAGCACAACGTATTGGGATCTATTTCGAACACCTGCTATGGCAAAAATGACGCTTTCTTTCATGTTTGTCTGGTAATTAGTTTGTTAAACGCAAATTTGCTTCTTTCTATTTAACAGATGACCTTTACTATATTAGTCTCTTACCACACACACACACACACACAAAAAAAAAAATTATTTAAAAACCCTTTGCATAATGCTTTGTCTAACAAGATTACTGTTCTATATCTGTATATCATTTGCATTCTACTTCATTGTTATCTTCAATTAGTTTTTAAATATTTATAATTACAAATAATGACGTACAAATATACGTAAAAATAATATCTAAATGATATTCTTTAAAGCCAGCTAAGCTGCCTCTTTAAAACAATTTTCCTTAAACTGAACTGATTATTATAAATGTGCGCGGTTTAACACATTTCTGATTACCAATTCACGAAAGTTTAAACACGTTTCTTTGTGTAGGCATACATACTGAATTTTGTATGAAGTTACCACATTAAAAAGATTTTGCTTTACGTTTCAGGTTCAGTGTCAGCGTGATCAGTTATGGACTGCAATTTAACTTGAAGAACATGGCAGGAGACATCTATATCAATACTCTTATTAATGTCGGCACATTGTGGGTTTTCAATGTCGTGCTCAGCGTACTGCCAATGTAGTAAGTATGAAATACCACAGACGTTTCTGGCAACTTATTTTAAACTGGAACTTCCCTTAGGTCATTTTTATTCTTTTTTATGGTGGTATCGACATCGTATCTTCATAAGATTTACTCTGTTCGCATAATACATTTTATTAATCAATCTGAATATTTGAATTTTAATTTAACAATTTAATTTTTTTATATTCTGATTTTCAGTTTTGGCAGAAAGAAGTGCATCATCAGCTATCAGTTCATTGCCGTTATAATTTTGATTCCAGTCGTGGTTTTGTATGTTTTAGGTAAGAGCAAATTTATCAACTTATCTGAAAAACGTGGGCCCATACAATAATGGCTTGTTTGATTGAATTTTACATGTATTTTACATAAATTTAAAAATTGTCTTTGAAATCAAACCATTTATTTTAAAGCAGCTTAAAAATGACAAGCTTTTCATATTCATAAAAATGATCAAAATCAGATAATGAAATTTTCATACTTTCGAACATAAATGAAATAACAAGTAAAGGTTATATATACACATCATCTAGGGGTTTCTGAATTTTTTGTTATATAAGTAAAATGATACACGTCCTTCGAATCTTATTTATTCAATATAGAAATCAATGAAGAATACTGGCTTATCACCAACATCCTCTCCACCACGGCTAATAATCTTGTGTCCACTTCTTGGACAAACTTGTTTGTATGGACGGGAGAGAGCTACCCAACACGTGTCAGGTAATTGGGTCATACGTATAAAAATGATTGGCCAACAAGTGTTTCGGTGTCAATGCCATATGTGATGTCAAAATGACGTACCAGCTTGCCATTTTGTGAATGCATTTTAACGTTTAAACTTATGTAACCATTGCAGAGTTAGATATAGGCAAGCATTTTATTCCTCAAAATTCTCGACGAAGGATATCTTCATAATGATTTTTTTATCTTAAAGTTAAAAGCCGTTTGTGATGCCTTGCTCATGCACATGCTAATAAGAATTATATATGATTTCAGAGACATAGGGATAGGTTTAAACTCCATGGCAGCCAGGGTGGGAGGTATCCTTGCTCCTCAGACAGCTTACCTGGTAGGTAAACCATACTAAAATAGTTTGGTGGACCGCATGCCTCTGCCTTAACCTAAATGTACTTGCAGATTTTACCCCATTTCCGCCACCCCTTAACTCCACTGTGCCCTCTCTCTCAGTACTCGCAAGGTACACGTTTTACTACTGTGAAATACTTATACTCAACCGCAGAGGGTTAAAGACATTTGCTTCATGTGTGTGTGTGTGTGTGTGTGTGTGTGTGTGTGTGTGTGTGTGTGTAAGAGAGAGAGAGAGAGAGAGAGCGAGAGAGAAGCATTTTGGCTGTTGTGCACGTGCTAATAGATGTTTCCAATATAAGTTGGCTGAGCAATGACTGAAAATTTTAGATTCTGATTTTGGTTCACAGATGACGAAAGTGTGTCTGCATTCATTTTAACGATATACTAGTATTTATGTTTTTTTTTTTTTTTGTTTCATTGGCAGACAAAATTTTGGAACATCTTTCCCTTCGTCCTGAGTGGGGCGTTATCCTTGGCGTCTGGGCTTTTAAACTTGACTCAGGATGAAACACGAGACAAGTTAATGCAAGATGACCTTCCAGAAAGGACTTGGTGCTTCTGCGGTAAAAAAGACAATGATGATGATGACCTTTCAAGTGACCGCTGGTCAGGGAAAAATGGAACCGACAGTGATGTCAGGCGTGCACACGTGAATGAGGGTTTTCAAGATACAAAGATTTGAATATGGACAGTAAATGCACAAACTAAAAAAATGTTACCAAACTACTAGCAACCGTTAACTGTACTTATTTTCAGTAGCATAAAACATTTTATTTCACTGATCTTTGGGTCATTGAGATCAGGTGACCCACCCCTTCTTCTCGGTTCACTTGCACACTGTCAAGAACACTTCCGATTCGAGATTTTCAAGAAAAATCAATCGACTGGTTATAGGCAGTGAATAAAATAGTTATCATTTGAAGCGAAATAATGGAAGTTTTTTGTTATGTCAGTTTAGAGTAGCTATACAATCGAATGTTTTACACTACTTAACAGGGGTATGTTGATCGGCTAGGTAAAATTTATAATAAGGAAATAACCTTATAAGGTCATGCACTGGTCGCTCTGAAAAAATGTAAATCGCTCTTTGCATTCCCTGACCAACAAAAGATACTCAACTTATTGTTAAACTTTCCGGCGTTGTTGGGAATTCCTGAATAGCATAAGTCGTACTGATTTTAACTTCACTAAGTTTAAAGAATTCAGTTGCTTCAGACCACACTAGTTAAGTAAGCAAATAAAGATTATTTAGTGAAATGTTCCCATCATTATTGTTGTACGTGAATTTTCGCTTTACAATCACCTGCACTGTACGTGATAATGTGTATTGTACGTGCATTTAGTCACAACAAAAAATCGAAGTCCTTAAATCAAGGGTCACAAAATTGACGATATTGATCTAAACACAGTGCTGTCTTTTCTTTATCCAAAAGCTGGGTTTTCTGGGCAAACTGCTATCTTGCAACATGCGTCTTCTGGCATGGGCTCCAGCCTACAGCCTGCAGGCAATACATTCCACTCGAAGCACCTGTAATGTAGAGAGTCGATTTGAATCTAAAGATATAATATTACTTGTCGTTAATACTGAAAAATTATGTTGTAATGACTATATGTTTGTGCACGTATTCCACGTATTTCCACGTATTAAAGGTTATAAATACTTTTTTGAGTAAGTTTTTGTCAATTTTAGTGGAAACACTTGTTTTATTTAAAGACCATACATAGGACTTAAATTGATTTAAGTTTTATCTTTTCTGCATAGATGCCTGATAATTGTGGAAAAACGCATATTTGATCTTTTAATTGAAATTAAAAAAATAGGAACTGACCAATCATTGTACATTAACAAGTTACAAATGCCAGAAAGTGACCTACTATTCTCACGGCTTGATTTAAGCGGAAAAAAATGTTGGCTTAAATAAACTTTCAGGATTTTAGAATTTGAAAAAAAGATAGTCGGAAGGCACTAAAAATTACCATGGCTAGGAATTGCACCATTGCGCGCCAAGATCCAAACAGAAGCAATGGCGGATCCAGTGTACCGCATATTAATTTCTCCTTTACTTTGGATGTACACTCTACCTCCACCCAAAATACAGTGTAACAAACGAATTTAGACAAAATCTAGTGAATTTAACTCCCTATGCCGTACATTCTGCAATACAACTTTCCTCGACCAATCATTTCATATTTGACGTGCATTCGCAAAAGTTTTATCCCTGTGACCGCCCACCCTGTGCCAACAAAATCCTGGCTCCGCCAATGCAATCGTATGGTACAGTTCTATTCCGTACTGACCTTTTACCACACTGGACGAAGTCTGGTGCAAATATACACTGACATTTGGTCTCACAGCCCTCGAACCACTCCTCGCCCTGGTCATAGTACTTGCCTTTATGGAAGCATTTATTAGCTGAAACAAGAGAAAAGATTGACAACCATATGTGGCCAATAAACCTAAAAAACAGTGAATATTTACTCCTAGTTACAGGAAAATATCGTGTTTATCATATTACAAACCCCCTGGACCCCCCCCCCCAAAAAAAAAAAAAAAAAANATTTCTCGGACTTCTTATTATATATTTATTTTTATTTATTATTAAAATATTATGTATTTATATATTACATATATCTTATTTATTCTGCCTTTGAATAAAAAACCAAAAGAGAAAGAGAAATAGCACACATCAGAATATTAATATCACCTTTTTGCTACACTTTTTTTCTTTTTTTTTTATGAATATATGCCAATGTTAGGATTAAAGAGAATTTTATTCAGTTGTGTTTGTTGTCGGTGTTTCGTGCGTGTTTCAGAATCCCTTTAATATCCACAGCGTAAATTTCCCATCATTGCTTGTGAAATACATGTAGTTGTCCATGGAACAGTTGTAACTCACTTGACAAGAATGAGTTGATTAAACTGCTCTCCTTTGCCACAGGTATCTTCCCGAGAGCCCAAGATGGCTGCTTACACAGGGGAGATATGACGAGGTCAAGGCCATTACGCAAAGAATCGCTGAGAGAAATAAGAAACCTATGCCAGATATAGACACTTTCTTTAAAGACTATGAGGTCAGTGCTGTCCGATTGTCAAAAGCATTAAAATCAAATTTTAGTGATTCCATACCAGTACTTCTGACCAATGGCTTTATTTAAAAATTATTTTATACTGTTTTTTTTCTCAACGAATCTATATTTCCTTTAGCAAAAAATCCTTAACACAAAAAGTTGTACTTGGATGTTTAATATATTTTTTGTTGAATTAATCGCTTTTAAACGAATCATGATTAATTTAGACTGTTTATTATTTCCGACAATTCAAGTTTAAGTGGATAACAAGTACCATTATATTCCAGACACAAAGACGGCTCCAAGAAGGCGAGAAGCATGTGAGCACAACGTATTGGGATCTATTTCGAACACCTGCTATGGCAAAAATGACGCTTTCTTTCATGTTTGTCTGGTAATTAGTTTGTTAAACGCAAATTTGCTTCTTTCTATTTAACAGATGACCTTTACTATATTAGTCTCCCACCACACACACACACACACACACACACACACACAAAAAAAAAATTATTTAAAAACCCTTTGCATAATGCTTTGTCTAACAAGATTACTGTTCTATATCTGTGTATCATTTGCATTCTACTTCATTGTTATCTTCAATTAGTTTTTAAATATTTATAATTGCAAATAATGACGTACAAATATACGTAAAAATAATATCTAAATGATATTCTTTAAAGCCAGCTAAGCTGCCTCTTTAAAACAATTTTCCTTAAACTGAACTGATTATTATAAATGTGCGCGGTTTAACACATTTCTGATTATCAATTCACGAAAGTTTAAACACGTTTCTTTGTGTAGGCATACATACTGAATTTTGCATGAAGTTACCACATTAAAAAGATTTTGCTTTACGTTTCAGGTTCAGTGTCAGCGTGATCAGTTATGGACTGCAATTTAACTTGAAGAACATGGCAGGAGACATCTATATTAATACTCTTATTAATGTCGGCACATTGTGGGTTTTCAATGTCGTGCTCAGCGTACTGCCAATGTAGTAAGTATGAAATACCACAGACGTTTCTGGCAACTTATTTTAAACCGGAACTTCCCTTAGGTCATTTTTTATTCTTCTTTATGGTGGTATCGATATCGCATCTTCATAAGATTTACTCTGTTCGCACAATACATTTTATTAATTTATCTGAATATTTAAATTTTAGTTTAATCAATTTAATTTTTTTATATTCTGATTTTCAGTTTTGGCAGAAAGAAGTGCATCATCAGCTATCAGTTCATTGCCGTTTTAATTTTGATTCCAGTCGTTGTTTTGTATGTTTTAGGTAAGAGCAAATTTAGCGAGTTATCTGCAAAACGTGGGCTTATACAATGATGCCTTGTTTGATTAAATTGCATTTGTACTTATTTGTAAGCTTCTATAACCAATTTGCAAAGAGTGTATTTTAAATCAAACCAATTTAAAAATAGATTGAAAATTACAAACTTTAAATATTCATAAAAATGATAAAAATAAAAAAAAAGGAATCTTCATAGTTTCGAGCATAAATGAAATAACAAGAAAACGATCATACATGCACTTAACGTCTAAAGGTTTCTAAATATTTTATTATTTTAATAAAATGATACACGTCCGTCGAATCTCATTTATTCATAGAAATCAATGAAGAATACTGGCTTATCACCAACATCCTCTCCACCACGGCTAATAATCTTGTGTCCACTTCCTGGACAAACTTGTTTGTATGGACGGGAGAGAGCTACCCAACGCGTGTCAGGTAATTGGGTCATACATGTAAAGCAATAATTGGCCAATAAGTGTTTCGGTGTCAAGGCCATACATGACGTCAAAACAACGTACCAGCTTGCCATTTTCGTAACATTTTTCAACGTTTATATTTATCTAACCACTGCAGAGTTAGATATTGGCATGAATTTTTCTCAAAATTCTCGACGAATGACATTTAAATAAAACTTTTTTATCTATAAGTTAAAAAAAACGTTTATGATGCCTTATTCATTTGCTAACAAGAATGATATATAATTTCAGAGACATAGGGATAGGTTTAAACTCCATGGCAGCCAGAGTGGGAGGGATTCTTGCGCCCCAGACAGCTTACCTGGTAGGTAAACCACCCACACAGTGTGACCGCGGTGGAGGACGCATGCCTCTGCCTTACATGTACCCTCATGTTGTGGTAGTTTGTACATGTACCCCCTTCCCGGCACCCTTCATTCCACAAAAATATTTTTAAAATAATAACACGAAACAAGCAATTTTCATGATTGAACAGTATATTATACTTTTATAAGAACTCGACAATTTTATCTGTGCCCCCCAACAGCAGAGCGTTAAAAACATTCGCTTCGTGTGTGTGTGTGTGTGTGTGTGTGAGTGCATGAGAGAGAGAGAGAGAGAGAGAGTAGGGGGAGAGAAAGAGAGGGAGTGGCATTTTGGCTGTTGTGCACGTGATAACTTGTTTCCGATATAAGTTGGCTTAGCTATAAAAGAAAAGTGTATACACTGATTTTGGTTCATGCGAGACGACCGAATGTGTGTCTGCATTCATTTTAACGATATAAATTAGTATTGATGTGTTTTCGTTCCATTCGCAGACCAAATTTTGGAACATCTTCCCCTTCGTCCTGAGTGGGGCGTTATCCTTGGCGTCTGGGCTTTTAAACTTGACTCAGGATGAAACACGAGACAAGTTAATGCAAGATGACCTTCCAGAAAGGACTTGGTGCTTCTGCGGTAAAAAAGACGATGATGATGACCTTTCAAGTGACCGCTGGTCAGTGAAAAATGGAACCAACAGTGATGTCAGGCGTGCACACGTGAATGAGGGTTTTCAAGATACAAAAATTTGAATATGGACAGTAAATGCACAAACTAAAAAAATGTTACCAAACTACTAGCAACCGTTAACTGTACTTATTTTCAGTAGCATAAAACATTTTATTTCACTGATCTTTGGGTCATTGAGATCAGGTGACCCACCCCTTCTTCTCGGTTCACTTGCACACTGTCAAGAACACTTCCGATTCGAGATTTTCAAGAAAAATCAATCGACTGGTTATAGGCAGTGAATAAAATAGTTATCATTTGAAGCGAAATAATGGAAGTTTTTTGTTATGTCAGTTTAGAGTAGCTATACAATCGAATGTTTTACACTACTTAACAGGGGTATGTTGATCGGCTAGGTAAAATTTATAATAGGGAAATAACCTTATAAGGTCATGCACTGGTCGCTCTGAAAAAATGTAAGTCGCTCTTTGCATTCCCTGACCAACAAAAGATACTCAACTTATTGTTAAACTTTCCGGCGTTGTTGGGAATTCCTGAATAGCATAAGTCGTACTGATCTTAACTTCACTAAGTTTAAAGAATTCAGTTGCTTCAGACCACACTAGTTAAGTAAGCAAATAAAGATTATTTAGTGAAATGTTCCCATCATTATTGTTGTACGTGAATTTTCGCTTTACAATCACCTGCACTGTACGTGATTATGTGTATTGTACGTGCATTTAGTCACAACAAAAAATCGAAGTCCTTAAATCAAGGGTCACAAAATTGACGATATTGATCTAAACACAGTGCTGTCTTTTCTTTATCCAAAAGCTGGGTTTTCTGGGCAAACTGCTATCTTGCAACATGCGTCTTCTGGCATGGGCTCCAGCCTACAGCCCGCAGGCAATACATTCCACTCGAAGCACCTGTAATGTAGACAGTCGATTTGAATCTGAAGATTAAATATGACTTGTCGTTAATCCTGAAAAATTACGTTGTAATGACTGTATGTTTGCGCAAACACCCTTGAATCCCTATATTTAAGGTCATAAATACTTTGTTTGAGTAAGTTATTTTCGATTTTAGTGAAAACTCTGGTTTTATTTAAAAACCATACATATCACTTAAATTGATTTTTTTTAAGTTTTATCTTTTCTGCATAGATACCTGATAATTATGGAAAAACGCATATTTGATCTTTTAATTAAAATTTTAAAAAAATAGAAACTGACCAATCATTGTACATTAACGAGTTACAAATACCAGAAAGTGATCTACTATTCTCACGGCGGAAAAAATGTTTGCTTAAATAAACTTTCAGAATTTCAGAATTTAAAAAAGGATAGTCGGAAGGCACTAAAAATTACCATGGCTAGGAATTGCACCATTGCGCGCCAAGATCCAAACAGAAGCAATGGCGGATCCAGTGTACCGCATATTAATTTCTCCTTTACTTTGGATTTTCACTCTACTTCCACCCAAAACACAGTGTAACAAACGAATTTAGACAAAATCGAGTGAATTTAACTCCCTTTGCCCTACATTCTGCAACTCTCCTGGACCAATCATTTCATATTTGCATTCGCAAAAGTTTTATCCCTGTGACCGCCCACCCTGTGCCAACAAAATCCTGGCTCCGCCAATGCAATCGTATGGTACAGTTCTATTCCGTACTGACCTTTTACCACACTGGACGAAGTCTGGTGCAAATATACACTGGCATTTGGTCTCACAGCCCTCGAACCACTCCTCGCCCTGGTCGTAGTATTTGCCTTTATGGAAGCATTTATTAGCTGAAACAAGAGAAAAGATTGACATTAATATGTGGCCAATAAACCTAAAAAACAGTGAATATTTACTCCTAGTTACAGGAAAATATCGTGTTTATCATATTACAAACCCCCTGGACCCCTCCCTCCCCCCCCCCCAAAGGTGGATCGATACGTGACAACGGTTTGAATTGAATTGGCCAAAATAGCTCCATTCATTGGGTTCTTAAATGCATAATTTACTTATCTAGATGTTAGTGCAATCAAATGTAAAATTTTTAATGCAAAATTTTGAGGTTTTGTTGTTTCATTCACAACCCTAGGCACTTCTGCTTTTAAGCCCTGTCCAATTTAACTGCTTTGTGAATTTGTGTAAAATAGTGATCGGTTTGTTGTTGTTGTTGTTGATGATGATAATGATATTTGTGATGTCGTTTTATGAGATATGGACTTTAATGACTAGATCAGATGTAAGCCTTCTAATAATTCCCTGGCACCAGACTAGTGCTTATACATGGTAGCCGTGATGACATAAGCTTTAAAACGATGTTCATAGCTAGCTGTTCAGGCGAGGAGAATCTGCTTGACATAAAAATATCAACAACACAATGCTGTTAGCACGTCATAAGCTCGATTTTTGGTATGACAGCATTTTTCTAATAACGTTGTTTCTGCATTATTTAAGGGGAGGAGGAAATAAATCCTCACGTATCAATCTACCGTCAAACAAAATTTATTTTCCCGTATATCAGACTGGTATTAAAAGACATTTTATGATTAAGGTAAGTAAAGTAATGCAAACACTTACAAGGAACTGTGGGTGTTGGCTTTGTGGTAGACGTCGTCGTTGAAGAGGTAGTAGTGGTAGGCTCAGTTGTAGTTGTAGTCGTTGTGGCTTTTGTGGTTGTAGTAGTTGTGGGTTCAGTTGAAGTCGTTGTAGGTTTGGTGGTTGTTGTAG